AATTTCGGTGCATTTTTTACATTTGTCCATTGCGATCGATTTGCCTTAACTGTGTCTGCTTATTGTTAGATGTGGTGAATGAAAGAAGAATTTCAGAATTAAAGTGCTACTGGTGGTGGAATTAGGAGAAATAGTTGGTGGCGTTGTTTAATAGTGTTCAAAGAACGAAGAAGACAGGAACAAATCAACTTTTTTGCGACTTGGTTGAGGAGTTTTCTTTGTTGAGTTTGGATTTGAGCTGAAGTTGTTTTCATTTTTGTTGATTTCGTTAACAAAATCAAGAATGGTTGACGAGAAAAAACAATATGATTATGATGCGGCTGATGCCCCAAGTCCAAGCTCGTCACTACTCAAAAATGAAAATAGCACCCATGTATGTTGTTTTCTTTATTTTACTTTATGCCATTTTGTAATTGTTTTCGCATTCCTTTTTGCCTAAATTGTGTTCGTTTTTCGTTAAATTGGATTTGTGTTTTGTGTTTCCTCAAAGTTTATTCGTTTTTGTCGGATGTCTTTCTTACTTGAATTTCACTCGTTAGTATGGTCACCATTAGGCCCCGAGTTGAATGTTCAGAGTTATTATTAGACTCGTTTATTTGTGAGAAACTCAATCAAAGATCGCAGTCTTTTGACTTTTCACTTCGTTTTAACTGGATGTCCTTAGCAGAGGCTAGGTAATAAATACGTTCCATTTTTAGGTTGTAACATATACGTCTATATCACTTTCATTTATGCCAACTTAATGTTTTTGCTGTGCTTATGCTTAACTAATTCATTGAGAGTTTATATATGTTGTTGTGTGCATTTAAAATCAGTTACGTTTCTTGGTGAATTACTTTAAGTGGAACTGGTGTGGTCACAAGTATCTTACAAGGTAGGGCATTGATTACCAACCACCATATGTAGCCTGAACGGGCCAAACCTGAAGTCATCTTTAGGATCACCGTCATTTGTTCGCACTCTACTTCACTCCTCATTAACTTTCTTTTGACATGTTACTTTCTCGCGTTACTTTTTATGAATTAAATTTGCGTTTGATTGATTGATTGCTGTCGTCGATCAATGAGAGTATCAGAGTTGTTGGAATCAAATCAGAGAAATCAATCAAATTAAGTCTAATCGGTTATTGAATTCATCGAATGATCCGTTCGTTGGTGATTTCCTTTTCGATTCTCCAGATCAATCGACATCAGAGATCATGAATTCAGCTACAATGACAGATGAGACGGTTTTGTGAGTCTATAATGGGGTGAGGACAACCGTCCTAATCAATTCATTCTCTTATTCTTTATTATTATCAAACTTGTACTATTATCAGTATTTCTGTCAATATTATTATTATCATTATCATCACATAACTGATCTTGAGCGACTTGATCTTGTAGTTTTTTGATCCTTTTAGTCAGCCGATCGATTCAACCATCAATCCTTTAAATGGTTGCTGAATGAATGTTTAGGTGTGATTGTATTTAGATAGGTTCATTCCTCTTATATTTTTTACTGCTTATCCTTCGAGATGATGGTATACATGTATTATATATAT